CCTTTTTGGGTTGTTAAATTAAATGTAAAAGATCGTGACACATGTTTGTGTGAAACCCATGTCAATTTCCAGTATGTAGTTTTAAAATTAAAATTTTACAACATTATTAGAGAAAGCAGCAGCAACGAAGTTATCAAAAGTATTACATGCTCTGCAGAAGGTAAAATAAAAGAGGCATGTTTTAAAAGAGAATGTCCTGAATGTATAACCAAAAATGTTGAATTTGTAGACTACAATTCTAGTGAGCATGTAAAATATGAAAAGTGGGTGTCAAAAAAGGAGAAATTGTTAGTAAAAAAACAGGAAAAGATTTGCGTTAAAAAAGTTAAGGAAACCATTTACTGTAGTAAAGAAGAATTAGTACTAGAATTTCAAAAGAGCATGCCATTTTTTTTTGCCCATCATTTTAACATGCTTCATCAATACGAAAAAATTCAAGAAATAAAAAAGAACCTTTCTGGCCATGATATTTTGATTCACATGGACTTCTCGGAAAATTATGGTTGTAAGTATTCCACAGAAGTGCAATCTGCCCACTTCGGAGGTTCAAAACCACAGATCACATTGCACACAGTTGTAACATATCATAAGAAAACACAGCAGGCAAAAGACGAAGTTGAACCACTCGTAACTTCATACTGTACTCTCTCCAAATCATTGAGGCATGATCCATCGGCCATATGTGCTCATTTAAGTCCTATAATAAATGATATAAAACGAAAATACCCGATCTTAAATGAAGTCCACTGTTTGAGTGATGGGCCAAGTACCCAATATAAAAACAAGAAAATGTTTTTCCTTTTGACAGTGATTGCTAAATCCCTGTGTGCTAATTCCCTTAGATGGCATTATTTTGAGAGCCACCATGGCAAGGGAGCGCCAGATGGAATAGGTGGATGTGTGAAGAGAACCGCTGATAATATTGTGGCTAGAGGAGAGGATATACCCAACTACGAGACCCTATTAGATAAGCTACAAACGTTGAAGGGCATTAACATTTTACCTATAGACGATGAGGAAATATTAAAGTTTGATTCATTGCTACCTGTGTCACTAGAAGCCTTTAAGGGTACCATGAAGATTCACGAGGCTCTTTGGACAAAAGCAAACCCTTTTGTAATACGCTTTAGACAATTAACTTGTAATAATTGTACTGCAGATGAAGTGTGCATGCATTATGATTTGGGCTCTATACAATATAAATCAGAAGATATTGAAGATTCGAATAGCACTTGTGATGAAATTATGATGGACATATCAAATAATATTGTCAACCAAACAAGTATCCTTTTTTAGCTTTCTAAATTTAAACTTAAGTTTATTTATTTATTTATTTATAGTGTTTCCTACAAATATTGCCAATTTTCACTTTTATTATACCTTGACATTAAAAATACAGATATGAAAAGGAAATTATGTTGCGAAGACGTTTATAGCTCGAGTGAAAAATCATGTAGTTCAGAGGATGAGCTGCCTCTTTTAACGTTGGTTAGACGTCCTTTGAGTCTAAATGCAGATGACTATGTATTGGTTAAGATTTCGGGGAAAAAAAATCGATATTATCATTTTGTCGCAGTCGTCATATCCGTAGAAAATGAAAATGATTACTCAGTTAAATATTTCCGTAAATCGCCCAAAGGATTTTTTTTTATTTTTCCAAACGTCGAAGATATTGGACTTATTTCAAATGATGATGTGGTGTCTGTTTTAGAAAAGCCTCAAATAAAAAGAGGACATTATTTTTTTAATGTTCCTGAAGTTGCTAATTTACGTTAAAGTAAAAATGTTGCAAAATTTAGCATTTTCATTTTTATAAGTATTATCCATATTACCAATTAAAATGATTTCTTTCCTAACTGTTGAAAGAATTTTAGTTTTTAAATAAATAAATATAAATATTCGTTTTAATGTTTTTTTTTTCGTTCACTGAATTGTATCACTTTCTTACTGTAAAATATTTTTAGTATTTTTTGTAAAGAAGAAATACAATCTTTTAAAATAGTTGATATGGTAAACAATTCTCACCTCCGTAACAGAACTCCTCACCTCCGTACTTAGCGATTTTAAGAAGTTTGCTTTTTTTTTAAAATAACCATATTAATTAGTAACCACTATTTTAATTACTTTCCTGTAACATGTATCAATTCAAAAAATGCGAAAAGTATACATTTTTAAAGGTTTTATAGTAAAACATTTTTATGTTCAAATATCCCTTTTTTGAAATAATGACCCATGTTTTAATAAAATTTAAAAAAGTAACTTGCATCTAATTATTAATTTTTATACATGTATATATGTACCTAGCACGTGCTAAGTATAATTCATAAATTAATTATAAAAATATATTTAAAAATACGATAATTTTTAAGCCTTGGTAAGATAAATCCATTCCCAAAACTTGGCAACACTTATATACTATGCAGAGCTGTACAAGAAAAAAGTACTCGAGTAAAAGTACAAGTAATTTACTTGAGTACAAAGTACAAAAAAATACAAAAGTACTCACGAGTACAAGTACAAAGTACTTTTTCCAAAAACTCTTAAAAATTTAGGTTTCAGTATCTAGCAAAAAAAGTTGTTAAAAGTTAAACATAACAAAATATCAGGTTTAGGTCACTTAGGGATATTTAAAAAAACTGCATTTTTATATTTCTTTAATACACGTATTTATTTATGTTTTCAATATTTTTTTTCCAAATAGCCAATTATTTCGATTTTAAAAAGAAAAAAATAATATTAAAAATTTTAATTTAAAATAGATTAACTATTCTTTTACATAGGTAGGTATACCTTTATTACCTATAGGTATACATACCTATTCATGCAATTTATTATATATTTTATTTAATAAATAGCCTATTCATTATTTAACTGCAAGCACGACATTAAATTAAAGTAACATGCATTTATGACTGCAAAAAAACAAGATTGAATGCAAAACTTTTTAAGCGTACCAAATATAACAAATAATATTTAAAATCCTACTTACCCCAATATAACAAAAACCAAAACACTTAAAATAATACTAATGCACATTCTGTATTGCAGAATAATCTCAAATTTCATAAAAAAAAAACCGTTACATGCAACATTATGACGGCACTACCAGAGATAAAAAAGGGCACTACCTTTTGTAATAATATTATAACATATTATGTAATATCTCTATAAAGTAGGGCACCACAATTATATTTTACCAACTTGCCCATATCGAGGATTTATTCCGAATATTGCCGAACCGTTAAACTTTAAAGCATTTACAAAAAATGTACTCGAGTACAACCAATGTACTCGTGTCCATTTTTCCATTTTTAATTTAAATAAGTACAAGTACCTACAAGAACTTTTTTTGAAATGTACTCTGGACTGAGTACCGAGTACATAAAAAGTACTTTAAGTACAAAATTAGAGTACAAGTACTCGAGTACCGCACAGCTCTGATACCATGGCAACCCTGTTATGCACTTGCATAGTTCAGAGAAAAACCTTAAGGTTATAAATTTAAATTATGGCACTATGACATCAAATGCATTTCTGTGAAATCACCTGGAGCTCAGCTTAGCAATGATTCAGCTAATGAGCTCCAGGTGAGGACCAGGTGATTTCACAGAAATGCATTTGATGTCATAGTGAGTTCACTGTGAGCTCACGCGATGATTATCACTGAGTGATTTTTTAATGAGTCATAAATGTTATCTGGGTACCTTTAGTACAGATATTCTTATTCCATAATAGAGAAGCTAGATTTTTTTTTAATAAATGCCGTTTCGTTAAAACTATTTTATGGAGAAAACCAGATACCTATGTAAACCAAATGCACAAAAATATTACTTATTTGGCATCATACACTTAAAAATTTCATTAAATGCAGTATTTATATTCCCAAAGTCTTAAACCAACCATTGTTATGTAATACTATAAAGATTTATAAATTTTTAACGCTTATAATAAGCGGTAAAAGTATAAATATTATTTCTTTCGTTGACTATACTTTGACAGATACATCACCTGAAAAGCCTTAAATGCCAAATCTGCGGGTAAAAGGCATAAGGGGATAAGTCAAAAAAGCAAAACGTATTCGCATTAATTCAGGAAACATATTTGTGGTTAGCGGGTATACCCTTTTGTAAGCACATGTCATATGCTAACAAAAGCGTATACCCGCTAAACATAAATATATTTCCTGAATTAATGCGAACACGTTAAAGGCTCTATTGAAAAATTGCTTTTTTTGACTTATACCCTTATGCCTTTTACAGATATTCTGTATATACTAAAGAAAAGTATCTCAAAAAAACTACTGATATTTAATTGTTTTTAAAATAAATCTACTTTACTACCCTTAAGATAAATTTGTTAAAGCCAAACTAAGGAAATGTATTGGATTTACAGATTTTTTTGGCATTGTTTTTACTGATTTTTACTTGGCAGGTAGACATTTTTTACACTCGCAAAACATTAAAATAACTCACAACGAAATGTAAATACTCAATATCGCGACGGCTAGGTGCTCCCACCTCTTCGCCAATCTGATGGAGTGGTGGAAACAGATGCGCAAAAAGTATCATAATGGGTGTACAGGAACATTGTTTTAACAATATATATATTCTGTACTTGGTTTTCGGGAATTTTTCCGCGTTAGCACTTGTTGATCCTGTAAAGGACCGATGGACCAAGTACAACATATATACGTATATTATCTTATATATTTAGATGGCATGGAAAAAATAATAAATAAGGTAATATTTAAAATAAAATATTTCCGAACCTTTTAAGGTGCACAATTACTATCATATAACCTTTGAAATATTGCAAATAAAGCAACATATATGTATATTATCTTATATCTTTTAAGAACCAAAAACCGACAACACGGAGCAGATACCAAAAAACCACTATATATATTTTACATTTTGGTTCTTAAAAGATATAAGATAATATACATATTATATTTATATATAAAATTAAAAATTTTCGTTAAACTCAATAATATTTTTTAGGAAAAATTGGATATTTTTAATGCCTATAAGCTAGACAAATTTCTTACACAACTTATGGCCAAAGATGCCCCCTTCGAATTCACGAATGCTAATAAAATATATGTTGCTGATAATATTCCAATTCGGGAATGTATGAAGAGCTTATTCCATGAAGAGTTAGAAGAAATTGCATTCAATCAAGATCCCGAAGGAGCTCGTAAATATATAAACAATTGGGTTGAAAACTCAACTCATAATATGATTAAGGATTTGATGCCTCCTGGTACAATAGATCAATCAACAAATTTAGTGCTTGTAAATGCCGCATATTTTAAAGGTATATGGGAAAATAAATTTAATCCCAACTTAACCAAAAAGGAGGTATTCTATGTGAGCCCATCGAAACAAATTATGGTAGATATGATGCATGTAGAAGGACTATTTGGACACGGTAAATATAATTATAATTACAAGCATATATAATAATATTAAAAACTTTAAAATGTATTAGGCAATATTAATTTTTATCAAATTCTTAAATTGGTAAAAAAATGACACAACTAGGGAATGCAATCCCGGGATCCTGTTATATTTTTGGTCTCGAAATTCCCGGAATTGTAAATTGCCAATCCTCGGGATTTTCGGGATCGGGCCATGACTAAGCAAACAACAATAATTGTTATTGTACCACAATGGGTAAAAATCTACAAATAATTGGCTTGGTATTGTAAAGATTTCTCCTTACACCAGGTTCGTTAAAACAATTTTTATGAAAAATTAATAAATGAACTATTTTGTGACTATGGCTCTTGATCTTTTTACCAAAATTTAGACCTCTACGTTGTGTTTACCTACTTGTTTTATTAAATACATTGCATTAAGAATCATACTTGGGACAATTAGGTATAGAAAAAAATAAAATGCAGTGTTTAGTTTACCCCAATTTAATTTACTTTACAAACAGTTTAAAAAAAAACAAGGGGTAGGCTCTTAGGGAGATACGACCAGGGAAAAAGAGCTTGAGAAAAAACCCTGTTCGGCTATGAAGTAGCAAAGGATTACACGATTAGGCATTGTTTCTTTAAAAGTTTATGCAAATCAATGGAATGACACGACTCTCGTTACGCTATTTACCCCCTACAGGTTCAAAAATAGGAAAAACGTTGTTAGTTTAACAGGGCAGTCAACTGTTAGTCTGTCAACGTTAACGTTGCCCTGTGGAGAACGAGGTCCACACTGAAAACAACTCGCGTAAAGATGAAGTTTCGGGATAAAAGTTGCGTTGCCACCTAGAGAACCTAGGTGACCAGTTATCCCTCGCGGAGGGGAGCATTTTAGTATTTACTGCAAACTACTAAAGAAAAAGAACCATTCAAAGTTTAAAATTAACGGTCGATACTCCCTTTTAAGCAACGAAACGTCCTGTATTACACTAATATTTGTTTTAAAATTACCGCAAAAAATGCATAATCGAGTTGGGGAAGGTTTAAACATTTTAGTTACAAGGATAGTATACCACTAAATTAAGCCTAAGACAATAAAAGAAAGAAATATAAATGTTTACATTTAGCAGTAAACTTAAAAGGCAAAAACATTTTATAAAAATAGCTAAAACAAAAGGTGTTAATATCGGGTAAAATTCACTAAACGTAGTAGTGCAAAATAAATAATGCTCAGTTTATTTAAATCTAAATCGTTCTACGTTTAGTGGACTTTACTACATAATTGGGCTACTAAAATTAAGAACTAACCTGGGAGAATACACAAACACTTACAACAATTGTTTACACAGAATTTTACAATAATTGTTATTTTAGCAAAGCTTCACGAAAACGATCCGTTCTCTAACACTTTCTGCCGCTTTCTTTGCTTCCCTCCCCAAGTTTCGATGTTCTTTTCGCCTCTTCTGGTCAACAGATTTTCCCCATTTCAGGCAAAATTTCGATCTTACACGAAAATTTGTAATTTCTTTACAGCTTTTTACATTTTACAACACAATTTAGAAATTCCAAACTTATTCAAAAATAAATTTGTAAAACCTAATAAAGTACTGAACCATTACAGTATGCATACTAGAGAATGCAATCCCGGGGTATTGATTTCCGAAATCGTAGATCCCGGTCTACTTTTGGTCTATAGTCTCTCCCGGGATTGTAAATTGCCATCCCAACAATAATTGTTGTTTGCTGAGTCTAGGCCGATATCGGAAATTTCGGGATTGACAATTTACAATACCAATTATTATTTTAGCAGCTTTCGATTGAGATACGTAGGCACGCCCATTATTATTATTATTATTTTTTTAAAGTTAAAACTGTTGATAAAGATTTGTTTTTATTTATTTTATTACTATCAAATAATTGCCTTTATATTATTATTCGTTTTATTGTACCTATTTATAATGTTACATATATGTTATGTGCAATGTGAACGTATAAAGAATAACATTTTTATGATTCTGTATTTTGTATTTTAAACATTAAAACCTAACAATTGTTTTTGCACATACATTTTCACTTTTTGACATTCTAGTTCTAACTGAGTAATTAGTAATCAATGGTTACAATTGCTGTCGTTTACATTTTACATTAATTTTAAAAATATACACCAATTCCGGGATCAATTCCGGAATTTGGGATTGTTGATTTTAAAACCCAAAATCTCGGGATTTAAAATATGCTTCGGGATTGCATTCCCAAAATGTTACTTATATAATATTATATTTTTAGATGTTTCCGAAAAGTTAGGAGCGCATATTCTAGAATTACCATACCAGGGAAATAATATAAGCATGTACATTTTATTGCCACCATTTACAAAGGATAATTCAATTGAAGCAACTTTAAAAAATTTAACAATTGAGAATTTTATGTCTGTTATCAACAGTGAAACGCTAGTTCCAAAAACTGTAAAAGTAGCCCTACCCAAATTCAGTTTGGAGACAACAGTGGAATTAGTCCCCGTGAGTATAAAATCCTACTTATAAAGTAATAGTTGGTTAATTATTGTGTACGGGGAAATAAACTTCCTTATCCTAGGTTCCTATTTAACAAATTTTCACCTCATATAACTAATATAACAAGCTTATTTATCTTAAGTTTATGATTAAAAATGTTCACTCATCGAATACGAAAAACTTGTATAGAGTACCTAAATCTCATAAACAGGGTGAGTCATACAGAATACCAGTTTTTAACAAATTCGAACAAAAAACTATAAATCCTATTAAATTTTTATTTATATCTTATTAATCACATATTCGGGAAATATTTTTTATACATTTCCCAGATATATATCTGAGAACATATGTTCTTAAAGGCGCGATAAGTATAACACAAATGACGAAAAAATCGGTTAGAAGGGTTTTGTTGTGCTTTTTGTCTAGTTTTTAAATATGTTTTTGTCAAAACACTTACTGCTCGGTTTTTGAGTTGCCATTTTTTCAGATTTTAACAGTTTTAGGATCTTATTGCGTTCCCATAGGCAAGCCATAATGCCTTTTTGTACTCCTCACAGTTCATTTGTGTGCATTTTTTAAATTCTAGTTTTAACTGGACTTGGCTACATATGTCTACGACATTAAAAATAACATAATGCATAAATATTAGAATTAAAAAAATACAGTACCAATACAGACGGGCAGTCGAACATATGTGCTGTCAAATGAACTCAAGCGCTCTTAAGTACCTAATCATAATAAAAGTCCTAAAGAAACATAAAAATCGCTCATATACAGTGTAGTTCAAGGAAAATACTGTGTGAAATAAGTGCAAAGTCTTAATAGAAACAATAAATTGCCTTATGAAACTTATGAAAAGAAGAAACGACTCTAAGAGTGGAAGGGGCCATCATCTGCAAAAACTGATAAGAACTAAGTAACCGCATAACCTAATACTCAAATTTGCAATAATTACAATAATCAAACATTATTACTGAAAACAGCGTACCAGTGCAAATAAACCAATAATTAAGTAAGAACGTTAAAAAACATAATATAAGCATAAACATAAAAGGCCAGCCGCATAAAATTAAAGTGTTTAAAACTTTACGAAACTAAAATAAACAACTGTCTCTAAAAATACATTAAACATGCAAGAAGTAACCTAAACACAAAAAGGTCAACGCAGCTTTATAAAGGTCAAGGGGGCATCCATTAATTACGTGGGGTGTTTAGGGGGGGAGGGGGTCGACCCAAACCTCACCCAATTTTACTTGGGGGGAGGGTGGTCTCGGCAAATATCACGTAATTTTTTCTTTTCGAATGAAACAGTGTAAAATTGCGAGAAAACTGAGTTAAATTAAGTAAACAATTATAACAATCGTATTTTTTTTAATAAATCTAATGGAATCAATCACAGATTAATTTATTTACATTAAAAAGATGAATTTAAAAAATGTCACGTGAGATTAAGGGAGGGGGGAGGGAGTCTACTATAATTTATCGACAAATTTAAAATTTTATTTAAAAAATCCAAATATTACAGATTATTCGATTTAAAAGTTTTATTATTTATTTTATTAAAATAAAAAAAATATTTAAAATGGTATAAAACCTGTAATATTTGGATTTTTTAAATAAAATTTTAAATTTGTCGATAAATTATAGTAGATAATAAATTGCACCACTTTAATTTAAATTATCTTAAGGCGGAGGCGGGTGAGGCAACAGGAAAAACTAACTTTTTTCGCAAACTTCAATTTAAATAAATGTTTGCGCTGAACTTGTCTATTTAATGTCATTATAAGCTAATATAAATTTGGTGTGGGTCCCATGTCTAATAACTGAAATATTGGTATACCCTAAATCCACCAGCCGTCACTTGCAGCAATACGTTCTTATACTTTTACTCATACTCAATTATAAAAAAAACAAAAAATACGAAAAAAATATATTTATTTTCGATATTGCGACAAAGAAAGTAAACAAAAACAATTTTAAATTTTACCCACGCTTCAGTTAAATCTCATGTACCATCTTCAGGTCTTATCTGTTGGGCTGCTTGTTATAGTGTTGAGTTTATATAATGATAATTTATGTAATGAGAATTTAACTAATAAGATGTAGTGTAGCTAACCTTTGCCCTGAGAGCCAACTTCACTGCTGTCACGAAGAACGACATGCAATTGTATCAATTGTAAAGTAAAATAATAAATCCATCTGCATCCTAGAAATATTGTTTATAATGAACAACCTGATAACATAACATGGCGCAGTCTTAGTATTAGAAACTTTGAAGATAGTTATTAGTGATTAGTGAATCAAAAAAGTAACCTGATAGAAAAATAAAAGAAAAGTAAGGTTAAAAGCATGGAATTTTTAAAACAGCCCAAACCCATGAGTATGGAGGGTGACTTGGCCCTTAATTGGAAGAAATTTAAAAAAACGTTTAACCTATACATGACAGCCACCGCGGCAGACCAGAAAGAAGCAAAAGTACAGGCAGCAATTCTGTTACATACAATCGGAGAGAATGTATGTGAGATATTGGACACTTTAAATATGTCAGAAGCAGATAAACAAAATAAGGAGAAGATCATAGAAGAGTTGGAAAGATATTTTATACCCAAAACAAATGTAAGTGTAGAAAGACATAAATTTAATACCCGAACACAATTGTCCACCGAAAATTTTGATGCTTATGTCAAAGATTTAAGAAGCATTGCAGCCTCCTGTAATTTTGGTGAACTAAAAGACAGCCTGATCAAAGATCGAATAGTTTGTGGACTATACGATAAAAGAACCAAGGACAGATTGCTAAGAGAAGACGATTTAACCTTGGATAAAGCCATAACTGTTTGCAAGGCAGCAGAACAAGCCGATAAACACATACAAAACTTGTTAGAAGATAAAAGTGTGTGCGAGATTAAAAACCAGCCGAGAAAGAATTTTAAGAATACAAGGGATAGTTTCAAGAAGACAAGGGAGGGACAGTTACCAGCACGAGACCAGACAACCCAACCCACGACAAGAACCAACCAAGAGGACAAGAATAAGAAAAATGTGGAATATCAACATCAAAGAAGACCACAGCCCAACACAACCTCAATATGCAGATATTGTGGGTACGATAGAAGTCACCGAAGCTGTCCAGCTTATGGTAAGAGTTGTGCATACTGTAAGAAACAAAATCATTTTGCACAGGTATGTCAAAATAAAAAGACTGTTAATTTAGTTAATTCTGATAATAATACTGATAATCAAACATTTGTATTGGGGACATTAGATTCAGATTCGTGTAAAAAGGGGAGTGAATGGTTTGAAAACATATTTATAACTGAGTTAAATAAATTTTTAAAGGTTAAATTAGATACAGGGGCTCAAATAAATGCAATCACCAGAAATATCTTTAATTGTTTTAATCTAAATTTTAAATTAAAACCTTGCTCATACAAGTTAACTAATTATACAGGGACCCAAATTAAGGTTTTTGGTAAAATAACTTTAAAAATAAAATATAAAGATAAAGTTTTTGATGTAGAGTTTGTGGTAGTAGAAAATGGTTCTCCTATATTAGGACTAGATTCAATAACTGAAATGAAAATGATTACAAAAGTAGAAACCTTGAATAAAAATTATGTATTTGGTAACAATGAACTGTTTGAAGGAATAGGCCTGATTCATATGGATCCTGTAAATTTTAAACTGAAGCCGGACTATGTGGCAAAAGTATGCCCAAGTAGAAAAATACCATTTCAAATGGAGGAGAAACTAAAAAAAGAACTGACAAAAATGACAAAGGAAGGAATTATAACAAAACTTGATGTGAATGAACCTACAGAATTCGTAAACCCAATAACGCTAGTAAATAAGCCCAATGGAGACATAAGAATATGCTTGGACCCGCAAAATTTAAATGATGCCTTATACAGAGAACACTTTGATTTTCCAACCTTTGAAGAAATAACACATGATTTATCCAATGCAGAAATTTTCTCAACCTTAGATGCATATAAAGGGTTTTGGATGATACCGTTGACAGAAGAAGCATCCAAACTAACAACCTTTGCAACACCTTATGGAAGATTTCGATTTTTAAGATTAGCCTATGGATTAAGGAATGCCCCAGAAATATTTCACAGAGTGATGACTGAAATATTTGCAGGGATTACCAATGTAAAAATATATCTTGATGATATACTGGTGTATACAAAAACCAAGGATGAACATGAAAGAATATTAAGAAAGATATTTGACAAAGCCTTGGAGAAAGGAATAAAATTTAACAAAGACAAGTGCAAATTTTTTGTGCCTGAAGTGAAATATATTGGTCATATACTAAACAAAAATGGTATAAAAATAGACCCTGATAAGGCAGAAGCAATTAGGCAAATAAAACCACCAACTGACAAGAAACAATTAAGCAGATTCCTAGGCATGTTAACTTACATTTCAAAATTTTTACCAAACTTGTCCCAACATACAGCAAACTTAAGAGAAATAATGAAAAAAGAAAATATTTTTATATGGACCAATCTGCACCAAGAAGAATTTGAAAAAGTGAAAGGTTTAATGATGGTAGCTCCTATATTACAAATTTTCAATGAAAGAGTACCAATAACACTTTCAGTAGACAGTTCCAAAGATGGAATGGGTGCAGTTATTTTGCAGAATAATGGACCAGTGGCGTATGCATCAAAAACGCTGACGCAAGCGCAGAAGAACTATGCGCAAATAGAAAAGGAGATGCTAGCTATTACGTTTGGTTGTCAAAGATTCCACCAATATATATATGGAAAAAGATTCCTTGTTGAAAGTGACCATAAGCCGCTAGAAATGATTTTTAAGAAACCAGTTAACAAATGTCCGTTAAGACTTCAAAGAATGAGAGTAATCTTACAAGCGTACGATTTTGAGGTTAGGTACAAACCAGGTAACCAATTGTATTTAGCAGATGCTCTGTCTAGAACCAGTTATGATGATAAAAACTTTGAAGTAAGTGAAGAGATAGAGGCCCAGATTAA